ACTTTTTGGCCTGTTTGGTTTTGTTCTGAGGCAGAATATGGCTTTCAACGGCTTAAAATCCTTGTCAAATTTCTTACCGCATTTTTACAGTAATGAAGAGCAATCGACGATTCGCTCCATACTGTTGATCTGAGTTAGGCCTCGCTCTATAGAATGGTGCCTAAAACTCGGCGGAAGACGTAAAAGTAAGGGAGTTATTAACGATCAAACAGTGTTCACATTTTTTTGGGACACTCTGTACATAGTAATGATTGCAACAGTCGTCTTCCCTTGACAGTAATACATCCTACTCGTCCTCCATTCAAGCAGCAATGCATAATCAGTTAACACCGTTCAAACCATCGCGTTTCATTCTGAGGCGAAGATACTACTGATACTGAAAGATAAAATGCTTTTCTCGTACGATACTTTACAAAACCTGGAGATACATTGAAATTTGTGGCTCAACTGCTGTAACGCACATATTCTCAGCACAGCATTTTCTCACCAACTGTTCCGGGATAAGTATTAAAGCCTATTCGCATGTACAGCAAGCCAGTGGAGCAGCGTAGAAGAATTTCTTAGTTTTTACTATATACAGGGTGTCCCAAATAATACTCCTACTGTTTGAGTGTTGATAATACTCCTTGTAATGAAGTCTTTCGAAAAACGTTAGGTACAATTTTGTAGAGCTGGCCTCAACTTGTAGATTCACGGTATGAAGCGGATTAGCGACTGCTCTCAGTTACTGTAGGATTACGGTAGAAACTTCAAAGAGGGTTTTGACTTGCAGGCCATATTTTGCCTCAGAAAGAAAGGAAAGAAAACAAACGGAAAACTCTCGTATCAAGATAAACAGTGCTGATTTTAAATGTGAGGTTTGGAACTTGGGGTACCATTCGATAGAGCGGAACAAGCTCTACAAAAAAGACCACCTAGGGTCCATCTAAAGGCCGCATGCACTAACATTCCCGCTGGGGAGGGTATTGCAGCTTAAAAGAAAGCTTCATATTCTGAAACTCCAAATATCTGGATTTTACGCTGTCTACCTGTCCGTAAGTATTCCTATTATTGATTTCCATGTTCCGTACTCATTAAACTTGGCATGATTGTAAGTGTCGAATATTGTTGTGCCGAACAGGTTGTTAGGTGGTTCCTTTTATTGTCAGTACTCTTCGGCCTTACGTTTCGACGCTTTCGTCTTTATCAGAGGCCTGAAATGGTTCAAAGCTTCATCCGTAACTCCAGCCCATCAAACGTCTCTACCAACCCCTGCCAGTTTTCGGCGCTTCCCCCTAGTGCTATAGAATTGTGGTGGCAAAAGACATACAGGGAAACACCGCTTCGTTAGATGTCCGTGCCGGATGTAGATGTTCGCGACGGACAACTGAGCTATACTGAGGGATGTCACATAAACAGTTATAGCTCACATAGTGATAAAAACGGAAGGAAATCAGCGGTCATGAATAAGTACTCGTTTTTGTTGTTCATTTCTGGATTTTTGCAGAAATCCAGAACGATCCTAAGGCTTTCCTAGCCGAGATCTCTTTTTCAAGTGTTAGAATTGTGACTTTGATATCAAAGTCATCTCCACCATGCAATTCGTGCCTATGTCTGCCAAGCGGGGAAGCCAAGTTCTTGCGCCTTTTATCTGACAAATGCTCTTTGATGCGAATGCCGAGTGTTCTTCTTGTTTCCCCAATATAGCGTGCATTACATTCCAAACATTCAAGCTGATACACCACTCCCATTTTCGCGCAGTCACCCATTCTGCCGTGCGGGCATATCAAGCATTGCTCCGTATTGCAGTATTCATCGTAGAGCTGTTACGTACGAGTTGTTTTTTGATATTATCATTGGGAACGTTCACTAACATAATATCATCTTGCAGCTGCGCACGAACGATGCATTTCTGTATGGTCGCGCTGATCTTATCAGAAATGAATGGCAAGCAAAGTGGAAGTCTGTCATTAGCCCGAATGTTGTTGCCATTTCTCCGATGGTGAATGTGCGGTGAAGAATGGTAACCGTTACTGCAAGCTATTTGGGTAGCCAGTCTTCGTGACTCGCATCGCTCCTCTTCTCCGTTGCACATCTGCATCGCGGTTCTAAACATATCACTAATGACAGCACGCTTTACAGAAACAGGATGTGCAGATTTTACGTTGATGAGGATATTTTTAAGCTTTCCTTGCGATACCATTTGACTCTTACAATGCCACCGGTCACCTTAACTTGAGCCTTGAGATAAGGCAGCCATCCATCGCGAGGTATCTCACTTGTGAGCTTGATGCACTGTGATTGCTGGTTAAGAATTCTGAAACACTCGTCCATCTCGGACTGTGTTGAAGTTGCAACACAGCAATCATCGATGTAACGGCAGTACATCAGTGGCATACGCGCTAGGACTGGCTCTTCAATTCTGCTCATGAAGCATATGGCGAGAATTGGTGCTAGCCTTTGGCCCATAGCTAATCCACCTATCTGGGAGTAATAAGTCCCAGACCATGTTCATTGTATCGGCATATCTATCCAACATTTCCGATAACGCTTGCAGAGCCTGGTCATTATCCTGCAAGCGTTACGGAAATGTTGGATAGGTATGCTGATACAATGAAAATGTTTGGACTTAGCAAAGCGCATACGATGGCCCTAGTGAAAGAATGTTTAGAATGTACCATCTTCAGATGGTCTGGGACTTATTACTCCCAGATACGAGGATTTGTATGGGCCAAAGGCTAGCACCAATTCTCGCCATATGCTTTATGAGCAGAATTGAAGAGCCAGTTCTAGCACGTACGCCACTAATATACTGTCGCTACATCGATGTTTGCTGTGTTGCAACTTCAACGCAGTCCGAGATGGACGAGTGTTTCAGAATTCTTAACCAGCAATCACAGTACATCAAGCTCACACGTGAGATACCTCGCGATGGATGGCTGCCTTACCTCAACGCTCAAGTAAAGGTGACCGCTCCTCCGGTTCCTTCGATGACGAAAAGTAGCCTATGACACCTGCCGGGGCCCGAAGTGTGTGTGCCAAGTTTGGTCCCGATCGGTTCAGAAATGGAATTTTCTATTCGGAACATACGTACAGACAGACAGACAGACAGACATACAGACAGACAGACAAACGGACATTCAGCTTTATATATAAGATGATTGAAAGAGATCTATCAGAAAGAGGAGAAGCTGCATCCAATGACACCTTGGTTGCTCGTCGTTTATTGTTCCTTGAAGATTGGAATGCCCAAAAATGGAATTTGATAGCATTAGAAAAGTATTTTCAAAAAATTTTGTGAAGCCGGGTACAGATGCCAAAAAACTGTATTATATTGCATTTTATTTATTCTATCCAACTGTTATCAAAGCTAGTCAAAAGTTGGAAGTGTAAATCGAAAAAAAATAGCCAAACTAAAGATGGGTAAAAATTATGGGTTGGAGATCCCTGTCAATTATTGAGCGGACATCAAGGAAATCTGAACAAAACAAACCTTTAGAAAAAGGAAGAAAATCTGTAGTGCTTACACTTTTGTCAGTCTTAAGTCTTAGTGGTTTGAGCACGGAATTCACGTCACGAACTTTCGGAGCGACCTCATATATTAGGTGGGACCGAAATTTCGTTTGCCAGTTTTTCAGAAATTCATGACCTCCTTTCCACTTGATGCGTCCTTAGATTTTATTTTTATCTAAAAGAGAAGAAACCATTCTTTTTACAGCTGCACCTTTACAATGAATTGGCATGTGAAAGTGCGAGACTTAGAAGCAATTGAGTAAAATTAATCAAGAGTGGCATTTTTCAAGCAGAGTCACAGAAACTCTGAAAGTATTTTCGTTTAATAGAAAAATTTATGCTCTTTGCTGTAGTTCCTTTCTCACGAATTAAAACGAAAAAGATCGAGAGTTAGAAGCAAATAGAGGAAATTACTCCAGTATGCATTTTTTGACCATGCTCAAAAATGCCAAAAAACGCCACGGAGAAGACGGGAAAGACATGAGCACGGGTTTTTTTGACACCTTCCCTTTCTAGCCGAGGGAAATTTGTGTTAACCGAGAGCAATTTTGATCTTCGTGAAAAAGGCTGAGCCAGAGCCCGAAAATAACACGAAAATCAAAGCTCTCGATCAGCAAGAAGTTCTTTCAGCTAAAAAGAAAAATTCACAAAACCCCTGTTCATGACTTTCCCGTCCTTTCTGTGACGTTCTGAGCTTTTTTGAGCATGCTCAAAATTAGCAAAACTGAAGTAATTCCCTTTATTTGCTTTTAACTCTCGAACATTCTCAAGGCAGTTCATGGCATGGTTATTGCTGTAAAATGGTACCCCCTTTCAACGAATATAAAATTGAAGAAATCCACGGAATCGAAAGCAAATTATGAATTTCTGAGAAACTGGCGAACGAATTTTTGGTCCCATTTGATATGGTGAAACCTGTTAAAAACATGTAGATGACTTGTCAGTCTTCTTTGAGACATGACTAGAGGTTGACTCTCCATTCCCTGAATTTTTGACCAGACTTGGTACAGAGAAGAAAGCAATAACCTTTTTCGAGGAAATGGGTCCAGATAATGGAAAGTACCCTAATTTTCTTATTTAACTTTTTTAAATTTGGAATCAATGTAAATATGTAAACAACTCCTTTCTCTTCACCCTCTGTTGCCATGTTTTTTCGATGAAACTGATTGAACTGAATAGAATGCAACTGATACTATATAATATGATTGCCAAATATATCAAAGGTTCGTGACTTTAATGCATAGTAGCTGAAGATTCGCAAGATTGCTCTTAGCGCGCCCGATTTAGAAACAAAATCCTCTTAGTGCGATAGAAGTTTTGAAATATTTGTACTTTTCAACAGAGGAGCTTTTGTAATAATAAAATTGGCATTGAGCAAAAACATTGTCAAAAGTCAATAGTACCCTCTCCTACTGTAAAGTAAGAAACCATTGATGAAATTACGCTTTTGTTGCTAACGCACCAGTTCCAGTATAAAAAGTGGAAACTCCCGCAGCAAATCATTCGAGATGATGTGTCTGCCCTTCGTAGTTCTTGTGGTAATCGTTTTCTAAAATCAGTAGAAACTTTTTGACACAGCATTATCCTTCGTGCACTTTCAGTTACCACCTGTACTCAGTCTAGTGCAGCCATTCTGCAATGAAGCTGGGGAACCAGTTCCAGCTGCGACGCACCCACTGGTGTCTGCATTTGAGAAAGGAGCCAAAAAGGATGGGAATAATGAAGCCCGTTTCGTAAGTTACAACTACATTGAAACATGTAAAATAGACATTCTTACTGATTGAGCTTAAAATGAGAATTTGAAATTGCATGACTATCTGCATTTTCAAACTCCGTACTTCTAGCAAAAAGCATCCGATCAGGAAAAGGAAGCTAAGTCATGTTTCGGTAGCAAAAAGCCAAATTGTGTTCCCGTTGTATACGAGTAAGTTGGTTGTCTATTGTTCGTAAGATTTTTCCAATGTTTAATTTGTTTAGACTAGGCTGGACGCCCACACAGATCTCTTCACAGGCAGCTGACATTTATGCGCTTTATCTGAAATCGGTATAGTGTTGCTCAATTCGTAAACATGAAGTAGATGTGATGACGCTAAAATCGCATGTTCACTTACCTTTCGCTGCACTTCACGCTTTTGTTGTAGTGCACAACACAATCGCAGAAAAAGGAGCTGAGAAATTATCACTGCTATTAGCAAAGCAACAAATTCCGCACAATTCGTAAAGACAAATCGTCTTCTACCTCACATACTCTGTGAATTTCTCCAAAACAAAACGTGAGCCTGAGGCAAATGTAGGAAAGTGGCACTTCAGGCGTGGCAGTGCACTTTTGCGCAGGTTCTCAAGGAGACATTGTTGGTGCTGTAATGGTAAATTTATATGTTTTCGAGTACATCTTGTGGATAGATATACGAGAGGCGCAAAGATTTTTGTTTTTGATTTTTGGTTGCGAGGCCTGCAGCAAGTGCACCCATGAATGTCCGAAACGTTGGATCACCGGTAAACCATTAAATTTTCATGGAATTTTTATCGAGGAAAGATGTTTCTTGAAGCAAAAAAAACCGTGAATTTCGGTTTTTACTAAAAATTTTCCATCTGACAGAAACTTGCAACAGTCATATGCCAGCACAGATAACTTTTATTTTCTGCTAAAAAATTTTTAAAAATATTTTTCAGAGCAATGGACATTTCGGATGTGTATGTACGGGTAGAGAATCCTACAAACACGTCAGGTTCCCCGTTGGATTGATGTATTGTTCCTTTGAGCGCGGAGGGATTTCATGGACCGATCAAGCTAGAACATATGACAGGGCCCTCACCAGTAACCTAAATGTTTTCTTGGGTTTGACTGTGGATGCCTTCAAAGATGATGTGAATGGAAGAACAATTCCTTGATCAGGAAATGAAGTTTTAAAGGCATTACTGCTTTTTCTCATGTAAGGGTCAGAACCTAACGAATAGCACCAATTTACAGCATTTCTTTATCGCAACATTTATACGAGCATAACGCCAAACTTCAGTTATTTGTAATACAGGAACTTGATTTTTCTATGAATAGCAGTGCTTCAATGCTACATCGCTCGATATTGAAGGCCAAATCTTTGTCCATACATTTGAAAGTACATTCGATTGATGGCAGAAACTTTTACTCAGGGTAGACCTCCGTAAATTCGGCAGCGAAATATTAGGCGTCCTAAAAGAAAATTTCTTTTCTAAACAAGCAAGCTGCTTTTTTTAGCAGATTTAGGATATCATACGACAAAGGTAAGCTTTACAAATGACCACCAAAGATCCATTTACTCGTGATCCAGGTAAAATTTAGAGTCAAACTACAATTTTTTGGCCACCATAAAAATCAGCTTCCCTTCCAGCAATTCGTATACGGATTCCCAAGGTCGTCGTACTGCGTACAGGGACCGGCACGAGATGGGCAAATGACAAGCTGGAAATCGTTTTGGGGCCATAAAGCAAAGCGGATATCGCTTTTGTGGGATCCGGGGTGGAGCCCCGGAAAAAAATCTAGGTGAAGCAAAAGGAGGTCGAGTTGAGCTTAAAACTGTATTTTAAAACCAATTTTTCTATGAGAAGTGATTTTCAGAAGCTTCAAAGCACAGCAGAATTCGCGCGCGTCAAGCCGCGCCGTCGCTCAAACGATGCTATTTGTGACAGCATACATGAGTAGTTCTCAATGCATGCATAACTGTATGGCACGAAATTTCGCACGCAAACGAACCGAGGCTGGTGGAAACAGAGTGTGAAAATTTATGAAGAACTTAGGTGAACGGAACGAGTAATAAGCATTTTTTTCCGAAAATTTTGCAAAATTGGTAAATGAAGATGTGAATTCAAATGGCTCGTCTGCAACGCACAAATGACGATATGGTATGAAACTTGGTAGATACATGCGCAGGGGCCGGCAGGGCTTAGGTGAGGAGTTTCACAAAAAAAATTATGTGACTGAAGGTTGCGGCAATCTTTTTTCTGAAATTTTCCCGCTTACAAAAAATGGAAAGATGGCTTTTTTGCAATGCAGACATGACGAACTCGCGCGAGATTTGCTGTGTATACGCGCAGTAGGACTAAGGAACAAAGTACGAAAAATTATGAAAAACTTATGTGAATGAAGAGCGTGCCCAACTTTTTTCCAAATTAGATGGGCAATTGCCCACCTAATGCCCATCTGAGGTGGGCAAAACTTCCGTCTCACATGATTTTTCAAAAATTTTTACATAAATCTCTTCCACACCTGGTGTTTGATGTATATTAACATTTTGGTTTCAAACCTCATCCTTTCCTCTTTGCTAGAGTCAAAAATAGCTTTAGCAGCCCAATTTCCTAAGAAGGAAAGCGCGCTCCAATCGAACGGCGTATCGCAGAGTCCTTCAACCGGCGTCTATATTTCTTCACTAACCTATTGCTGCTTTGTACGCTGTTTTCATCTTTTCACCTTCCTTCTTTAGGGGTGTATGCTTGTGTTCTGTCTAGATATGCTGTTTTCTCACCTTAAATGATGTTAAACGTAATATTGCTTCCACTTTCGTTATTAGAACTTGTACAGGAATTCAAAGGTTCTTCTTTATGAGTTAATCGATACTAATGATTTTCGAGATGATTTGGTTGCTTTTTGACCTGTATTTTACATTTAGACTCAGTTCTCCAAATGCGCATAAGATCGATTTTCATGTAGTGCTCTTTGCACCAGTTACAACCTGGATATTACCGGTTTTTACAGAATGGGTCGCCAACCGGCAAGGTACTACCGATATATCAAAATAAGCCGTATCCGAAATCGCGTTTCTGTCGCGGTGTCCCCGATCCGAAGATTCGTAGTTCCGATCTTGGCAAAAAGAAAGCCAATGTAGATGAGTTCCCATGTTGTGCTCACATGATGTCCAACGAACGTGAACATCTTTCATCGGAAGCTCTTGAAGCTGCTCGTATCTGCGAAGAACTGCGGAAAGGTAATAGTGTTTGAACTTTTTATATAAGTCAAATATGCGTGAATCTAAACTAAGGACGGTTTCTATCTTCAGGTTCGTAAGCATCACGACCACGTAACCCGCATCAACAAAATGTTATCATGTGCTGGCGCTGAAAGCCTCAAAGTTCAGTGGCTCGTGTTGACATCGAAGATATTTTCTTCTCAATGCGCTTAAAGAAAGTGTGAGTTGACTTTGATTTTTCCGTTCTGATTTTGAATTTTCATTTTGATATTTCCGTTGATCTTTATCTGCTAATTACGTTCTGTCTAATCTCATCAAATTGAATGAAAAGCTCTCGATGTGTTTTAGTGGAATTTTTATCCGTTTATATGTGAAAAGTCCGCAAGTTTTTATCTCATGGTGCTAAAGAAAGGTCAACCATGTTGATTTTTGATGTTTTTTACAATTTATCTTTAATCATGGTTTAGAAAATCCTCTGATCATCTTTCTTGTATGGTATAACCTACTTATCATCTTCGTCTACTACAGAATAGGACATCACCAAATGACTATCATTCGTCATCTTGTCCTGCAGAAAAGCCAAATTTACAGAAATCTCTTTTACGCGACGCCAAATTACAAATCATAGCTGTTCAATTACGCTACGTTTCGTTCCAAGATGAAGCGAATACTTGTAGCGGCTGCTTATGCAAGCATGTGACTCTGAGTAAAAACATCATTTTCAAAAATTATACAAGCTTTATGATCGGATTACATAGACGGAACCTTAAAGAGCAAAGAGTTCTGAACAACTACTATTCATCAATCAAAGGCTTTTTTGAGTAATTTACCAAAAAGGATCTACAGAATTTACAAGGTTTAGCAAGAAATGGCTCTTGGTGGAAATCACGACATTTTTAACGACCCGTGCCTGAAATTCAAACTTCGCAAGTTCACGGGGGAAGATTCCATCGCAAGCACAGATGATGAAGCTCAGCTCAAGGATAATCCACCTCCAGCTGCATCAGGCTAGGTCAAAAGCATTTCTGGAAATCTTTACCAGTTATATGGTTTAGAATCTCAATTGTTGATGAACAACGATGGAGAACACGTGGCGCGTTCTTTTCAAGAAAGGATTGGACAAGGCTATTCGACTCCGCAGTGCATGGCCAACAATACGCTAGCTCCACTTCGCGCAATTGATATCTCTGCAGTTACACCTTGTGATGAACTTTCTGCTAAAAAATGTAAGGATGTTTTCTTCAAGTTGGAAATCATTTGCGACAGTCCATTTTAACTCAAGCATCTGGAGATTTTTTTAACATCATAAGGTAACGTATGAAGTTTAGACTCTCCAAGTTGCTCAAGTACCATCAAAGGCTAAGAATGAAAAGCAGCTGAAGCTGTCGATGAAGAGATGATGGTTGATGGTAGGTTGCTTTTTGTACAATACCGCTCACATTTTTTGAAAAAAAGACGCGAATGTATGGACATGTATGGACATGCACGGACATGTCCATACATGTATGGACATGTCCGTACATGTCCATACATGTCCGTACATGTCCGTACATGTCCATACATGTATGGACATGTCCATACATCAGCGTCGCGTGGCCATATCTCGCTTCAGAGTGGACGAATTCTGAATCCAAGGCCACCATTCGATTCAGCTCGGCGCGGAGAATCTCTTGATGTATTGGAAGTGGGGGTACGATGTTTTCGATATTCCGTTTCCAGTTTTTTCAATTTGTTCTGCGGAGGTCCTTTCGCGAATATGTGAAGCAACGCCTACCCAACATAGAAGACTTTACTAAGTACTATTCGATAATACTGTTTTTGTAAATTATTGTGCGCTAAAAAATAGGCTCAGACTTCTTTCCAAAGGAGGTGAAAGCGTTGGTGAATTTTGGAAAAATCACGCGTTTCTAAATTCTACTCGCCATAACTTCCTTCGGAATAAGTATATTTTGAATCCGAAAACTGCGCCTTGCTCAGCTCATCGAGTCGAATCCTCCTATGTACAGCATGTCCTTGGTATTTCGATTTCAGTATTCCTGAATCTTTCTGAGGACGTCTTTTCGCGAAGGTGTAATGCAGCGAACATTGTCCCGAGTACATTTCAGCAAGGATCTTTCGATAGCACTTTTTCTGTAGATTATGATGTGCTAAATAGTAGTCGCAGGTTTCTTTTCAAAAGAAATAGAAGGGCTGGTGAATAGTGGAAAAATCTTGTCGTGCCAAATTCTACTCGCCATATCAGCAGGATACGAAGCTATCTTGCTAAGCAGATGTGAGTTTCGAAATCAGCAGGTCGCATAACCTCTGTGAGCAAGTTTTCCGATATGTTCGGTTTATTCCATCTTCTCTCGTTTTACGCTCCAGAAGCTCGCCGATGGATTTTGGTCAAAATGTTGATGCTCCTGAATTGTAAGGAAACTTCGCTTATATGTAGAGGTTTTCGAACACGCTCTTTACGAAAATCGTGGTCTTTGAGGATTACAGTGTCTTTTTGGAGAGATACGGTGAGGTGACTGTAACTTCATCACGAAAGTACGTAAATTTGGCCGCACTTCTCGCGTATCTGTCAGAAACCTTGCCTGCTTGCTTCTCTCAGTCAAAGTTACTAGGAACTGTGCTATCGAATGGTGTATTACTCAGGCTCCAGTCTGTGAAATTCGCCGAGTTACGAGCGTACAAATACACGTCCTCATGAATTTTGCCCAAATTGTAAAGATCGCATATCTCGTCGAAATTCCTCCGCGAGCGCTTGTATGACGCTCGTTGCAGATATTATGTTCGCTTCGTTGAACGTCTCCCACTGCACTGAATATGGTGCTTGCGTCTGCTTCAGCTGCTCAACTGAATATCAAAGCTATTTCGTGGCTAGAGCTCAAAGCACCAAATCTAGCACAATAAGATCCATTAAAAATATGGAAGGATTTGATCAGCGCATTGTATGAGGTCATTCGGATAGTTTTTTCCTTTTTGCGCCTTTGATGTTGATACCATATTTTAAGAGGGTGTCAGGGGGCTGTTAAGGGTTGCCATATATGGATCTGTAGAGGAAGTCTTCTGGTTTCTGGGATCCCACCGAAATTGCAGAAGACGCTTTGTAGGGAAGTTTACGCGGCTCTAAATCCGACATACGAAAACGCGATTATCGAATAATTGTATTCTCTAAGCTTAAATTTGAGCGTAAGACCGTTGAGGAAACCATCATTGTGCGCAATGCATTTGCCAAGACCACGTCTTTTTTGAGGTAGGTTCAAATTTACTTCAGAAAGTTCAGACCTAGAGAAGTGAAAGCTAATATTTTGCAGTGTCTTGGAAGGTGTTTCTGCCATATAAACGAGCATTTCAGAGGGTCCTTTGAATCGCAATTATAGCTGCGTAAAATTATCAGCAGGCCCTGAAGTGTCATATAACCTTATTAGGAGCCACCTTCGCTAAAGCTGCAATACCGAAAAATTTCAGCGGCATGTACCCACAAGTTGTCGCAATCGCAGTTTGAGGGCGCGTTGACTCTGCTTTCGTCGCTCATAATTTTATGTAGCAATCCTTTTCCAGCCTGAGTTATTAATTACAGCAAAAAATTGACTAAGTGCGGCAATGAGAAGCGACAATGTGGTAAATCATTTGGAATAAGCATTGAAAGCATGACCAGAACAATCTGTCATTCCAAAAGGTTGATGCACTCAAATTAATGTAATCCTGCTGGTCTTGTACGCTATAAACTTGCTAAAATGCTATTGTACTGTAAGAGCAGAGTAGTGTGATGTCGCTCTGAAGACTGTTTGTCAAAATTTCAAAACTGAGCAGACTTGCACGTATAAGCTATGAGAGATGCCATCCACGCTCATGACTCCGCCAAACCACATGTAAGGAAAGTGGCTCTCACAAAAGGGGTTGACTGCGCACCGAGGCTCCTGTTTATTTTTCGAACTCTTTAGACCTTCCTTTACCAGTCACCGAATTTTCCAATTCCTCGGTGCCTATTAAAAAATAATAGGACCTAATAGAGATTGACTAATCAAAAACGCCTTTTCAGGCTTTAGTGATTCCTCTGAGATCATTCCGCAAGAGAAAAGCACAAGAGCACTATAAGAGTGTAACCAGAAATTTGCTGAACACAATGCAGTTTATTTGATGGAAAAGGCTGAATCAGGGAAAAATTGTGCTCATTTGAATTTGGAGGTGCAAAAACGAAAAAACTTTCCGAATGACTTAATACAAGCGCTCGCGGAGGAATTTCGACGAGATATGCGATCTTTACAATATGGTCAAAATTCATGAGGACGTGTATTTGTACGCTCGTAACTCGGCGAATTTCACAGACTGGAGCCTGAGTAATACACCATTCGATAGCACAGCTCCTAGTAACTTTGACTGAGAGAAGCAAGCAGGCAAGGTTTCTGACAGATACGCGAGAAGTGCGGCCAAATTTACGTACTTTCGTGATGAAGTTACAGTCACCTCACCGTATCTCTCCAAAAAGACACTGTAATCCTCAAAGACCACGATTTTCGTAAAGAGCGTGTTCGAAAACCTCTACATATAAGCGAAGTTTCCTTACAATTCAGGAGCATCAACATTTTGACCAAAATCCATCGGCGAGCTTCTGGAGCGTAAAACGAGAGAAGATGGAATAAACCGAACATATCGGAAAACTTGCTCACAGAGGTTATGCGACCTGCTGATTTCGAAACTCACATCTGCTTAGCAAGATAGCTTCGTATCCTGCTGATATGGCGAGCAGAATTTGGCACGACAAGATTTTTCCACTATTCACCAGCCCTTCTATTTCTTTTGAAAAGAAACCTGCGACTACTATTTAGCACATCATAATCTACAGAAAAAGTGCTATCGAAAGATCCTTGCTGAAATGTACTCGGGACAATGTTCGCTGCATTACACCTTCGCGAAAAGACGTCCTCAGAAAGATTCAGGAATACTGAAATCGAAATACCAAGGACATGCTGTACATAGGAGGATTCGACTTGATGAGCTGAGCAAGGCACAGTTTTCGGATTCAAAATATACTTATTCCGAAGGAAGTTATGGCGAGTAGAATTTAGAAACGCGTGATTTTTCCAAAATTCACCAACGCTTTCACCTCCTTTGGAAAGAAGTCTGAGCCTATTTTTTAGCGCACAATAATTTACAAGAACAGTATCATCGAATAGTACTTAGTAAAGTCTTCTATGTTGGGTAGGGTTGCTTCACATATTCGCGAAAGGACCTCCGCAGAACAAATTGAAAAAACTGGAAACGGAATATCGAAAACATCGTACCCCCACTTCCAATACATCAAGAGATTCTCCGCGCCGAGCTGAATCGAATGGTGGCCTTGGATTCGGAATTCGTCCGTACATGTCCATACATGTCCGTACATGTCCATACATGTATGGACATGTACGGACATGTACGGACATGTCCATACATGTATGGACATGTCCGTACATGTCCATACATGTCCATACATTCGCGTCTTTTTTTCAAAAAATGTGAGCGGTATTTTAATATATGGCGTTTTTTAACTTTGTAATGCCGCAGACCCCACTCCTCTGGCTATGGCCAACGAAGGCGATTCCATGGAGGATGTTCTATCCAAGATGCGAGCTACGCCAAAAGGGCTACTGTGACAAAAAGGAACAATTTGACCGTTTCTCTCCTAGTGGATGATGCTCTAAAAAGATACTTTTGGGAACCGAACATAGAGTTTCAGATCAGAGCCATAATGGTCAGCGTCTTAGGTTTTTCAAGCATGTAAATTTGCAGGGATGACGCGAACTCAGTTGCCGAAGAAGTACAAAATGCCACATATTCAGTCCATAAAGACGGTACATATACCATACCGAATGCCGACGCGTATGACCAGCCTGCTCAAATTTCTGCTCCTGCTAATGCCACATTCACGATGAGCCCGAGGGAGGTGCCCTTGTCAGAGAAAACGGGTGGCAGCTCTCCCCATAGTACACCCATGGTGCCCCATGGTGCCTATATGTTTTTTGGATCTCTATTTGTTTTTTTTTTGGATAGAAATAAGATTTTTGAAGGGTTTTCCTCAATAAAACTTGTTCTGTGGGCAAAGTGTTTACTGCGCAAACGCTGGTACCAGCTTTCGGGTCAAAGAGGAATTCGTAGAAAAATTTTGGGTCAGAGGGGAATTGGGTTTCGAGTACCCCTTTTGCCCACCTTGTGCCGGCTCTGACTGCGTACACTTGGTAGTTTTCATATGTGCATTTGCTGGATTCCAAAGCGAGAATAGTTCAAAAATAGCAAACTCCGTCCCCG